CGACGGGGCGCGGGGCAGGGCCGTGGCCGAGCCCCTGTGGTCTGCAGCAGCCTGTCCCGGGCGCGCCGTGTGCACCGGAGCGAACATGCTCCCGCGCGAGTTCACACTCGCGAACACGCACCAGACATGCGGATGCGGGCGCAGGAAAGGCAGCGGGGGCGCGGGGCGCCCACGGAGCTGCCCTCAGGGTGGCACCGAGTAGAGACAAACGGAAGGCCCTCGCTGCCCACCGCGCCCCGGACAGCCTCGGGCCTGGCCCCCACCCAGACTCGGGCCTGCGCGGCGGGCAGCCCGGGGCTCCACACTGACTTTGCCGAGAAGCCCTTTGTCTTTGGACAGGAAGCCGCCGCTGTTCTTCACGGCCACGTCCAGCGTCCTCCTCTGTACCTCGGGCAGCGAGACGCTGAAGTCAAAGCTGAAAAGGGCAGCGAGGACCTTTCTCAGATGGCTCCGAAATCTGCTGCTTTTTATTACGCCCAAAACACGACATTTCTGCTCGTGATTTTCAGTAAAACTGAGTCCCGGAGACGTCCAGGTGTGGCCTTTCCCGAGGACGCACGGCGTGGCCGCAGGACGCGTTTCTCCTGCCCGACACACGGAGGCCCCTGCGAGGGCCCTCGGGGCTCGCCTGCGCGGCAGGGGCACGTGGCTCTGGGCACGGGCTGGGCGCCTGTCTCCCAGCGCCGTCACGGCGCACACGGGGCTGCCCAGGGATGCGCGTCCTCCGGGCTGGCCACTGGGCAACGGGCCTCCGCCCCGTGAGCGAGCAGCCCGGAGCCCCCGTGCCCCGGCCCACAGAGGCTGCGGCCAAGTGACTACACGGGCCGGGGGCAGCCTCGTTCCTGGCTCGGGGAAACGAGGTGACCGGGGCGGAGCTGACAGACGGAGGGTCCCCCGGGCACGGGCGCTCAGCCCGAGGACTGGGCTCCAGCGCCCCCAGGCCCCCCAAGAGCCGGGGTGAGAGTGTGGACAGGGCTCCCGACCCGGGCGAGGCGGAGGCACCCAGCCCCCGCCGCGACGCCCTGTCTGCACACGAGGCTCCCCGGCGGCGCTGGCCGCGAGACGCCAGGAGGCTGTCCTCGAGAAACACAGATCGAAGGCTTCCTGCGCCTGACCACCCCGCCACAACCAGGCGCGGCGCCCCCGGAGCTGCTCCGGGCGGTGGGGCCTGGCGGCCCAGGGGCGGCCACTCCGTACCCAGCACCCACCTCTGGTCAAACACGGGGTTCAGGGTTTTCTTGGAGACGTGGGTTTTCCTCCTTCCCGAGCGCCGCTTGTCCGGCAGCAGGTACAGGCGGACGTAGGGGTCGGAGCCGTCCTCTGAGAAGGCGATGAGGTTCCTGAGCGCGCAGAGCGGGGCGTCAGGGCCCGCGCAGGCCCCGCTGGCCCGAGAGCCGGCGCA